TGTCTACATCACTTACTATTGCATATCTCATTAATTCCTTTTCATAAAGGATCCTCAAACTCAAAAACTCTTATCATATCCTCATGAAAATCTACCCCACAAAAAGACTCATTATAATCATTCCTCTTAAAGTCTTTGGTGGTTAATTTTTTTTTAACAACCATAAATATATATTTTCATGGACTACTCTCCTAACCAACAAAGGAACAAATGCCACTCTCCTAAGACTAAAAAAGCTACAACATGATGGCTTAGTTTTTTTTTAAAATAAATATTTCTACCACAAAACTCACATTTAGGGGATGAATTCCAACCCTCTAAATAAATATAAGTTTTGAGAGAATGTTCATCCTATTTCATCCAACAAGCCTACATCTCTCCCTAACCTACCCAATTTACTTTTCTCTGACCATATTGAACTGTCAATATCACATACAAGGAGCAAAATACAAAGGAATTGTCTATATATTAGATGCCAAGGAAATTCAACTAATAAAGAAAATCAAAGCATTTCTCTTGAACAGAAACAAGCTTTTGAGCTAAGTGAAAACTATTTTTCACAAGGTAACATTGATTCTGATCTTAATAAGCCATCAATAGAAAAAGGTATATGGACTTGCAGAAAAGACCCAATCTTCGATTATATTTTTATAATAAATTATGTCCTCATTTCCATGCTTTACAACAAATCTTCATGGAACGGACATCCCCAACAACATTTATGAATCATTAAAAATATTTGAATGAAAAGATGTTCATGAAGAAATTTAGGCATTGGAAAAGAATAACACAAAAAAACTCTCAACATTGCAATAAAGAAAAAAAAAAAGAATGCAAATGGATTTTCAATACCAAATACAAGAATGATGTGAGCATTTAAAGGTATAATGCTAGACTAGTTGCAAAAGTATTTATCAGTTAGAAATACAAGATCAATTATCAAAATTTTTTTGCACCGGTTGCTAGATTAATATAATCAAGGTCATATTGCAGCTAATTTTGATTTGCTCCAAACATTGTATGCCAATAAATCAAGGAGATGATGAATTGTTAGAAAAAAGAATAATGAAATAAAAAAACTTAGAATCACGTGCCGAAGGAGATAGACACTTTATCTACACTTTCCTAGGGCGATGCATTTAAAATGAATTGCTCCAACCACTTTATTCGAACTTAATCCATGTGAATACCTAGTCAAGTAGAACCAAAAAGACAATAAGGTGATAAGGACTCATGGAATTGAGGAAGCAAAAGAGAAAAATACATTTAAAAGTTGTTTGGTTTGCTAAAAAAGAAATGCAAAATAAAATGGAATACAGTGCAGCAAGAATGTAATGTATTTAAAATGTTTAGAGTTATTTTGATGAGTGTAAAATAAATAAAAGCAATTATTTTTTATTTAGTTTGTAGTAAAATGAATACAGCCTAAATCCCAATGTTGGTGATGGTTGGTGACTGACTATGGCGATGATGGCACAGACAGGAGGGTGACCAAAAGTGGTGGCTACAATGCCCAGCGAGCCCGCGATGATGGATGTCATTAGCGGCAAGCAGCTAACCGACGACAACGAGCGCCAGTGGCTAGTGACGACAACAAAGTTTGCTTTCAGTGAAAAACTAATTTGGTTGAAAAGGGACGAGTTTAGAATACATAAAAAATGAATTACATAGTGAAAAAGGAATTCATCAAACCTTTATATTCATTTTCATCAAATCTAACACCAAAATTTTCAAATCTCTTGCATTTGAAATAGTTCGCATTGCTTTTTTAGCAAACTAAGAGATGAGAAGTTCATTAGCATTTTATGATAGATACTATCATGAATCTCAACCTTTGATGACATCATGGACACCGACAAATTACACAACTTATTTGAATAGTTTGTCACTTTTGTTTCTATCTATAACCCATATAACAAGTTCCTTTTGCTCCCTTAGAACTTAGTTCCCATGAGCTGGTATGGTGATATACCACTATAAAATGCTATGACAAAATTGACTTAGAATAGATTTAAGAGATTCCTCATGGAACATTCTTACCCAATCACATATGCATGAAGATATTGTTGGAGAAATTCTGTCATCCTCAACAGATTGCATATTTTGTGATCGAGCATAACATAAAAAAATAATATATTATCCCGAAGAATAAAAATACTATTTCACAATGGACTTAATAACAAAACTAACTATTTTAATTTTAACGGAGATTTTCCCCTATTAAATATTCGGTTGAATAGGATTTATTTTATTCTAAGGTACAGATACCCCATAAGGGCAAGCCCCTATGGTTAATTAGATCTCAAACATTTTTTACTTGAGAACACTAAGGATTGAGAATTTCTCAACAAATACATGTCATAAGCCCCATGCTTTGGGTGGATTCAAAAGTTGGAACTGCATGCCAACAAGCAGTGTAATTCTGATGCCGCCATTATAGATATTTCATTGACAAGTTGACTTCAAAGGTGCTGCCTTTGGAAGTCTGTTACATGATCCTTAAAACTCATAACCATTGGGATCAGGATCTAGTATGCTGTAGAAGAGCACAATGAGACGAAATAGTCAATAAAGGCTTGATACACGATTAGTAAGACAACTTAAATTTCTACATCAGATCTCAAAACATAATTTTAATAAAGAAGATGGTCAATGCAATTCAAGAGTTTTAACTTCTTTTCTCGCAAAGAAAAGTACGAGTCCACCCACTTCTTTCAAGAGATTAATCAAAAGGAGACGAAGGAGAAGCCTCATGAGAAGCAAAAAAAGAAGCAAAACTAGATTTCAGTAAGCCGTGAGAAGAAACATCAACATTTGATTGTAACAAAGGGAGCATTTCAAAAATACAAGCCAATCCAAGAGGAAGACTTGGTTATACACATCAATCAGATGAAGCCACTGAAGGCTTAGTTCACATCAACCAAACATTCATCCCTCCACTTCCTTTCACTTTCTCCTCCCTTAGCATGCATCCATGTTTCTTTGTAACGTCTCAATTATTTTCCTTTAAGGTAGGTTAGTAGCCCACTTTTAACTATCGATCAAAACCAATACAAAGGACATTTCAAATTGGGTTTCAAGTAAGATCCAAGCTTAAAAAAATATATAAATATTTTTTTAATTTCGGATTTCTCCTTGTACAGGCAAAATTTAGTTGTTTTTGACACATAGTAGTAGCTAAAGTTTCAGCTCATTTCGTATTGAAACAGGTAGTAGACTAAAATTCTAAAGAATAAAGCGAGAAAATGTTTATTTGTTCAAGGGTGATTTAGGATTCTAACTAGTTCCCAAAGTATTAAATAACCCAAACAACTGACCTAATCAGACTGGCTACATACAACTAAATATGATACAAATGATGTGGAACATACATGCAAGGATGATTAACTTAGGGAGTTTCAATGCTTAATTTTAGAAACCACGATAATTATATCTTTATATTGATTTTGAACGACAAAAGAAAACACAAAGAGCGGTAAACCAGCTTAGGCTAAATCACATGCACAGATGTTAAGATCGTAAAACAGTCAATTTAATCTAACGTTGCATACATGAATGGTTTCAACAATAAATCCCAATGCTAACAATAAGATTAGTCTCTACAAGAAGATCCCTCACTCAACTCTTCCAATTTCTAGGCATTAGCGGAGAAGTATTAACATAATCTTCATGACTATAATAATAACCACAATCAAGGATGTAACTATGAAGATGGAGAATCGGATGTTGAGTTTACCCAAAGACAAGAGAGATACGCACTCCGGCAAGATAGTTTGAGTGATGGGGATGACTAAGACAGCCACCATGAGCTTCCTCGCACCACAGAATAGCCAAGACAAGGTGTGGATCTTCAAGACAGCAGCAGTTTTTGATCTGGATAGATTCTGGACATCAATTGGAACCTTCCGGATGAAGGTATGGTGCTGGGAGATTTGTAGAATCAGCGGACAGCAAGTTGTAGGAGAGCAGCCAACAGTTTGAAGGTTTTAGGCGGCAGAAATCCAGATTTCCCTTGGCTGGAATTCTGGGACAGCTGGGGAAAACTGAACTTTGATAATGGGTGTTAAGTAGAGGAAGGGAAAAGATGGGAAAATGGGGGCGGCGGATCCAAGGCAAGAGGGGAGGATTTAGGGAAAGTTTAATTAGGAGTTAATGGCTGGATTGGGGAGAGAAAATGGGAGAGATAAGTTGAAATTGATTACAGATTTAGGGAGTAATTGAGGTGTAATTGATTTGGAATTTGAATTTGAATTAGGTGGGGAACTAGAAGGGAAAGTGAGGGGGAAAAGAATTAATTAGATCCCTAATTTAAGGTATCTAATTAATTAAAGGGGGGAGCTTGGTTGGTCGGCCAAGGAGAGAGGAAGAGGAAGAGATTGGGTATTAATGAGGTGGGCCCAAGCATTTAAGGGGGATTGAGGACTTAAATCTGACATTGATTTCAGATTTTAAGTAATTGAGGGTTATTCCTAAATTATAGGAGGATTGATTGAGAGTAGATTTGAAATTCAAAATTTGAAATTCAAATTTGAAATTCAAATTTGAATTTTAAATTCTACTCCTAAATTAGTGGGCCTGACTTAGGAAAGCATTCAAAATATGAGAGGAAAAACAAGTGGTCGGTGGCTATGGGGGGAGGGGTTTGCCGGCGGGTGAAGGAACTTGGATGTTTCCGGCGGGTCGGTAAGGTGGGCTGGGAGCCGGCGGGATGTGGGATGGGGCAGGAGTGGGGAGTCGTGAGTCTAAGAAGAGGGTAAAACATGACATAACATAAAATAAGAGCTAAAATTCATAAAATAACTCATAAATGACAATTTAAATTAGAGCCGTCGATTTACGACGCCTCCTGTGATAGATGCGCCAAATCTTCATGCCGATGTCCGCATCAGCATGTATATTTTTCTTAATCATGCTATAGTTTTTAATACTAAGAAACTTAAGCAAATTAAGTGTATGAGAAACATTCCACAAGATAAAACAATATTTGATGTAAAACTAACCGCAAGATGTAATCGGTGAGCCAACATGGCCAGTTAAAGTGTCACCCTCATTCATCATACTTATAACACAAGATGTCTCTGTCATCCCATAGCCTTCAATGATTTGACCTCCAAAACATCTGCAAAAAATGCTGAAGTTGTCATATGGTGCAAGGTAGCTATAACATTGCATGATGCCTAAAACAATTCTAAAAAACAAAATCATCTAACTCTAAAAAGGTCATCTCATACACTCTAAGAAAATCCATGACATCTGGAGACAATGGTGAGGCCCCTGAGGACATATATCGAACTCGTCCTCCAAGTTTGGCCTTAATTTTGTTGAATACTAACCTGTCCCAAATTAGAGATGGGTTTTTTCCTGTAGAAATAGATAAATTCACAAATTATCAACTAATTAAATTAATAACTGTTGCTTTAAAAAGTTATGGAGATGGTGAAGCAATCACAAAGAAATTTTGTACCTTGAAATTAAATGAAAGTAAATAAAAAATATACAAGCTATGATTTTCTTTTATCATTAACAAAAAAACAGCAGTGATATAAATCAACCCCGTCAAAATTTCTGTCCTCTTAAGATTTATATAGCCATAGAAGACCAACAAACGAAGAATCAAGAATCACTTGACATCAAGCCATATTTGATCCTTCTTAAATTCATTTATTAATCAGCATAAATTGAGCCATGAAGAAAACATTTTAACAACAAAAGTATCACCCAACTATCATATGATGCATTGAAGTCCTAAAACAAAAGTCAGCATTACACCAGAACTCAACAAATTTTTAAAAAGCAGGATAGGGATAAGTCGGAATAGAACATAAAAAATTTAATCTATAAAATATTCACATGGCTATAAAATAGATAATCAAGATGCATATGATACAGTTGACCTCTTCACGAATAAACAAATCAATAAAGTATTCTCAGCATGCCTAAGGGAGATCAATTCATACACAAACAAATACCTAATATTCAGAAAGCAAGGTTCCTGATTCGTTATTCTGCTTTGTTATTTTTACTTCAGCAGAAGTCTTTGTGGTTGGTCCTGGAAGGATCAAGGGCCATGTCAATAGATTGCACTACTATAAACGGTTGGCTACATAAACTCAGAATGAGCCTGCAACATTGGGGGAAAGCTACGTTATTTGATTGGGTAAAACAATAGGAGCTTGTTATATCGCAGGAGTCCCTTGAGCCAGCAAGGCTCAACAAATAAATAACAACTTAGGCACATCAAGGCTACAACAAAAGGTCCTTATATCCAAGAACATGGCTTACTTGGCCAACCCTAACTATATATAGCAAACGACCCTTGCTACATGACCCCATCTTGGCATCCTAAAGTTTAAGCAATGCTAAATTATCTTTTAGATTAATGGAATTAGAATATCTTCATAAACATATTATTCATCTAGATCAAAACTTAAGATTATTTTTTGTGGTGATGAATGCTTCATATTGTACATGGTATTTTATCATAAAGGACATCTTTCCATGATTTTTCTTAATAAGTAAACTAATATCCTACAGGATATCTAGAATATCTTTAGATTTTAGAAACACGCCTAGGATAATATCTTTAGATTTTAGAAAGATATTTAGGGCATCTGTTTTTAAGACCTTTCTTAGTTAGCAAAAGGGACTTTCTGTTATTACCCTACATACAAATTGTCCCTTCATCTATGAAAATATATTATAATCATAACCACCAACAACAACAACATCAAGGCTTTATACCACTACGTGGGGTCGGCTACATGAATCCTTTTTCTTCATTCTGTCCCATTAAGAGTCAAATTCTCATTTAAATCTAATATAAAAAGGTCATTCTAATATTTTGAAACCAAGTTTTTTAAGGTCTACCTCTACCTTTTTAACAAAAGCCAAATCTAATACATCTACTCCCCTAACTGGGTCATCGGAAGGGCAAAGTTTTATGTTGTAAAAATCGAAAAATGTCATTTTAGACCTAGCACGCCTTTCGATGCGTCGTGACAAGTTTTAAGTGAAAATTAATTCTTGTAGGTGCTATTTGAGGTGATCTCAAAGGAAGGAGGAATAACATAGATAATGATTTCCTAACTTCTGTAAGTATACATGGTTCTTTATTTCAATAATACTTTTGATTTCTCTTCAATTTTATGTTTTGAAAGTCCAAGCATGATTATGAAAATTTTATGACCATTTTAGATCTTGATTATATTATTTCATCCTATGATTGATCAAGCAACTTTCATGTTATATATCATGGCATTATATTATAAGTTTATATATTATATGAAATAAGATGAAATGAGATGATATGATTATGAAATGTTTATTATATTAACTGCTTGTATGTGCATGCTGAAATAATAGAGCTCACCCCCTGATGGTACTAGCTGGGGAAGTTGTACTCGTGCACGTTAAAATGGTAAAGGATATGGAAAAAAAATGATAAAAAAGTATCTTTATGGTACTAGACGGTGGCTCCTGTGACGGTTGTAATATATACAAAAAGAGAAAATTATGAATAATGATATGGATATGAAAATGAATTATGAAATGATATGATTTTATGATTTATGATTATGTTTAATGTTATGTTTATATGAGACAAATTATGTTATATTCAAATGAAATTGACATTTATCATATTGTTCATTTTGCATTGATTACTGTAGTTTAGAATTGTGTTTTACTTACTGAGCTTTGGCTTAATATTAGTTGTTAACATTTTTCAAGTAAGCTTAAATTAATAAAAAATGAGTAGAATGAGAGGCAATGTATACCGTAGGAGAGAAGCTCAAGAAGAAAGGTAATTTAGAATATGTTTGATTTTATGTTTATGTGATTTCAAATTTGATGTTTTAGAGGCTCTTCGAAATGTCAAGGTGATAGTTTTAGGAATTAGATATTTGACCTACCGTCCGACCATCCGTTCCCGCCTAGCCTATACGAGCTCACCGGGCTGGGTGGTGCCAAAGGTGGTATCAGAGCAAAGGTTTAGGAATATAGGTCAATATGAAAGAGCCAATAGGATGATTCTTTAGGTTAGTTCAGGTATAAGGTATGTGTGTTATACACTACTAATTCTGTAGATTCGAGAAGGTATAGGTATAAAGGTTAGAGAAGGTTGATTGCAACTAAAAATTGTATGTAAATTCCGAGGGTGGTACTAGACAGTGGCTCCTGTGACAGTTGTAATATATACGAAAAGAGAAAGTTATGAATAATGATATGGATATGAAAATGAATTATGAAATGATATGATTTTATGATTTATGTTTAATGTTATGTTTATATGAGGCAAATTATGTTATATTCAAATGAAATTGACATTTATCATATTATTCATTTTGCCTTGATTACTGCAATTTAGAATTATATTTTACTTACTAAACTTTGGCTTAATGTTAGTTGTTAACATTTTTCATGTAAGCTTAAATTAATCAAAAATAAGTAGAAGGGGAGGCAATGTATACCGTAGGAGAGAAGCTCAAGAAGAAAGGTAATTTTGAATATGTTTGATTTTATGTTTATGTGATTTTAAATTTGATGATTTAAAGGCTCTTTCAAATGTTAAGGTGGTAGTTTTAGGAATTAGATATTTAACCTACCGTCTGACCATCCGTTCCCGCCTCGTTTATGCGAGCTCACCGGACCGGGTCGTGACATATGTGACCAAACCATTTGACACGACTCTCTCTAATCTTATCTTCCATTGGGACTACTACAACCTTTTCACGTATATGCTCGTTTCATATCATGTCTCTAAGAGTAAAGCCACTCATCCACCTAAGCATCCTCATCTCAACAACACTTAACTTAATATTATGCTTCTCTTTTAATGGCTATGTCATAAAGCATTGCAGGTTTCAACACCATCTTATAGAATTTTCTCTTAAGTTTGAGGGAATTTTTTTATCACACAACAAGCCCGATGCATTCCTCCACTAACCATCCAACTTGAATTCTATTAATAATATTCTCATCTATTTCACCATCACTCAAACAATAGACCCGGGATATCTAAAATGTGTATTCTTATTAATGACTTCATTGCCCAAAATTACAATCCCCCACTGGATCTATTACTACTAAAATTATACTCCATATATTTGATTTTAGATCTACTCAAATGAAAACCCTTACACTCTAAGGTTGACCTCCATAATTCAAGTTTACCTTCAACTCCCTCTCTAGTCTTATGAACAAGAAGAATATCATCAGCAAAAAGCATACACGAAGGTACAATCTCTTGCAAATATCTAGTAAGAACATCAATGACTAAAGCAAAAAGATATGTGCTTAAAGCTGATCCATGATGTAATCAAACTGAAATAGGAAAATACATGGTCAAAAACCCTTGTGTTTGAACACAAGTAACAGCTCTTGCATACATATCCTTAATGAGTTGAATATAAGAATTATTAACCCATTTCTTTTCTAGAACTCTCCATAACACTTCTCTTGGAACTTTATCATATGTTTTCTGTAAAATAATAAATATTACATGTAGATCCTCCTTATTCTCTTTATACTTCTTCATCAAACCTCTCAATAAATGTAAAGCTTCCACAGTAGACCTACCCGACGTTAATCCAAATTAATTTTAAGAAACATTAGTCTCAAATCGTAACCTACCCTCCATAATTCTCTCCCATTGTTTTGAAGTATGACACATTAACTTAATTCCTCTTCGCACAATCTTGTGCATCATCTTTATTCTTAAAAATAGGAATCAACATACTCATTCTTCACTCATTTGACATCTTTTTAGTCTTCAAAATAATATTAAAAAGTTTAGTAAGCCAAGAAATTCCTTCATCTCCTAAACAATTCCACACCTCTATTAGAACATCATCAGGTCTAACAACTTTTCAACACTTCATTTTCTTTAAAACCTCTCTAACTTCAATTTTACTAATACACCGATAAAAATAAAAAACTCTATTTTCATTTAGGGTGCTAAGGACACTAAAGTCAATTATATTCTCACAATCTTCATGGAAAAACTTAGCAAAATATCTCATCCACCTTTGTTGAATATTATCTTCTAATAAAAGTATTTTTATCTTTATCCTTATGCACTTCACTTGAACTAAATACTTACTACTCATATCTCTTTGTTTGAATTTTATATATATATATATATATATATATATATTCATCCTCCTTACTATCTAATCTATTATATAAATCATTAAAAACTAAAATCTTTACATTGTACATTGCTTTCATAGACTCCTTACAAGCCTCTTTATACATTTCCCAATTTTTAAAGTTTTTTACATCAAATACAATTTTTATAAAAGAACTTTTTATTTTTCATCTTTTCTTGTACATTTTGATTACATCGCCAACTATTTTTACTA